CTTCCCACTTGTGTCAGATCTGCCCTTATATAAACACATTAACAGTAATTTCATGAGGCGTCAAACATAGGAATAAATACTGAGGGATAAAATAATGAGGTGTTGCTATTGAGCTGAACTGTTGCAGCTATATATTACTAAGTATGAATTATGCAGCCTGAAGGAAGGCATATGTTACAGCACTCAAACAGCCGCTGTGCCTGCTCCATCTGATCCTTGGGTTTTGGGTCCCGTAACTGGATCCACTTTTATTCCTTCTGCAAGGCCAGGACAATGTTTAAGTAAATACACAGAATCACACACACACATATGCACATGCATACAGACACTAAGCTGTTCATATAAGGCCAAATTCATTCCTCTAAGAACTCCAGTCATATTGCTGAAGTTACACTAGAGATTAATTTTGTTGAATGTTGAACAGACATTCAATTCCATTTTTAGAAGAATAGCACATTTATTAAGGTCTTGGGCTGAAATTTTAAAATTGCACTAATATAAACAAGAACATTTTGTTTGTAAGTTGCCACATCTATTACAGCTTTGCTCGGTCTCCAATTAGAAACTTAAGGTTCATTTAGTACATGCACATCTGGTACTGATTTAAAATGACTTTTCTTTTTCATCTAAGGACAGAAAATGACCTAAGTAGCCTTTTTTACCCAGTTTGAACCAGCATTCTGTCTGCAAGCCAGAGACTCGACCATTTAGCATGCTGAACCCTCTTCCCTGGTGGCTGTTTTTCTCCCCTTTGCAGTAAAAATATGTGCAAAGGCAATGATGTACATAAGTGTGTTACAAAAATGGGATGCACAGAAGTATAGTTCTGAGTAAGGAGAAAATGATGTTTATGATACTAAGAGAAGAATTAGCAAAGCCACTCCAAGCTGCCTTTTGTTATGACTACAACACTGAGGAAAATACATCCCAATGCATTATTGCTACAGCTGCTTCCTATTGACAGGTTTATTACTCAAAAGAGTCTTAGAAAATATTTACAGTGAAAAATGAAGAAAAATGCAGTTCCTTCTTCTGATCACATGTAATTTTTGCACCTAATTTGGGATTTCAGAGGAAGCCGTGAAATACATCCCTACTTCCAATATCCCTTTACTTCCTAGACCCTTTGCGTCTATGGGTTAGTACAAACAAAACACTGTCACACACCAGCACTGTTTGCAAATGGCCCTTGTATGCTCAGAGATTAATGGGATCAGTTACAATATATGACACAAATGAAAATGTCTTCATATGGTAATATAAGAGCAGAAGTATGCTGATATCTGTTTTAATCTCATAGATTGCAATATTCTTTGTGGTAAAAGAATCAGATTGTGATACATTTTAAGCATAATCAGCCCCGATTTTCAGTAAGACACCTGACACCATCCAGCCCACGATAACGTTTGCTTTTTTGTCTTTCAAAGCATGTTTTCTCAAATAGCGTTTTCCTAGGCTCTTCACAGTTTGAAAAGCATATGTGGCTCCTTAACAAAACGTTTTCAAGCTACAGCCTAGCATGTTAGGTCACCAAATTTTTGCAAAGGTTTGGCCATACATACACTGCTCTTGAGTTGTTTCTGTACTGACTTTCAATACTTTTATGTATGCTGTGCTCAATCTGTGGGGGAAAAAAATACAAGAAGAATTCTATGGATTTCAGAAGCTGGCTCAGGTCTTAGGAACAGTGATTTCATTTTGGCATACAAATACGAAGTTATTCTTTTTTCTCAATAGCTGCATTATGTTCTACTTTCTGATTCATTTATATTTACTATTTAAATAGTAAAAGGAGTTCCAGTTCAGGAAATGTAATTTGGAAACATAATTCTATTTAAATTCCAGAATAAGCATTAGCTTCCAAAGCATAAAAGCCAGAAGCTTTATGATAATTGATTTTTTTCAGAAAGTATAATTCATCAATAAAATATTCATCTAATGATATTATTGTTTCTTTACTTAACTATTTTTGATTTTCTGAAGCTTCTTCAATGCCAAATTGCAAATACTACATTAATCATTTGTATTTTTAGAGTCCAATTTTCCTGCCAGAGACATAGGTTTCGTAACAGTTACTAATGCTCTGGATCTGAAAAATTAGGCCTTTAAAATACAGACTATCTAGTCAGTTAAGATGTCTTGTAATCATTACTTTGTACTATTAGATCCTTAATGGAATAAAGAATGAGTTTAAATTTATTCTAGAAAAATAGGATTGCAATTTTTTTTTTTTTTTGTAACAGGGACTATCCTTTTTGCGGTGCTAGATGAGAAAGGGCTCAGGCCTGGAGTTTTAACAATACTTAATAGATGATAATGAACAAAGTGAGTCAAAGAGCACCAAAGATACACTAACTCAAATTCCTGGAATAATTGGTTTAAAAATCTAGTTGCAGGCCCCCTTTTTATGGCTGTGTTACAAGCAGTCCATAGGACATCATTCTGCTGTGTTCCAACTTAATTTAAGCACAACAGAGATAAGGAAAATAATTTTGTTCTGCTATTCCAGTGTTGGAACTTGCTCAATTATTGCTGTCAGCCATGAATAGGAAATCCAAATTAAAGGCATAATTTTAGGTTTTAATGCACTTGTCTTAAACTGAATTCTCCAGAAAGGCTGGTGATTTTGTCACTTTGCTGTTCTCCTGTCCCTCCAGCCATTCCTTGCAGAGCTTGACACCCTCTCTGCCAGCTTGCCAGTGCTTGGCACAGACAGGAACCCAAACCATCTCTCTGGGACATGGCCAAAATCACAGGCAATACTTTTTCTGAGTCATAAGTGAGCACCCATCACCACGATCCCAAGTCTTGTCTGACTATGTCAAACTTCTTTTTGGAGTGATCTAAGCCCCGTGTAGGTGCTTATTCTTGGCCTTTGTTGGGTAAGGTTAAACAAGGCAGAAGGAAGAGGAAACAAAACCTTAATGTGCCAGGTCCAGTGACTGTTCTGATCCTCACATTCAGAAAATTATCTCTTCTCCAGCTAGACTCTGTAAATGCCTGCTGTCTTATTCAGCAGATACTAGATAGAACAACCTTTTTTTTCCTTAGTTGCTGTGTCAAATCCTGATTCTCATTACAGTTACCTTTAATAGGGATCTAGATTTAGCTACACTATCCAGTTATTAGTGAAGAAAACCTTTTCTTTAAAGCCCAAACGATTTAACATACAAAAAGAATTCAAATCAATGTTCTCATTTTTGTTATTAATCTTATTAGCTGCATAATTTATCATGTAATAACAATATATTCAGTGGAGCATTTTCCCTCTCTTCGTGCTAATGTCAACACCCACCTAGATCTCCTTCCTGCAGCCAAAAAACCTCTCCTTCAGGATATTCTTTTTGTCCCTACCTGGCTATTCCTCACTTAAAACTCCCCTTTCTTTATCCATCCGACCTATTCTATCAACAGTTGTGCAAACACACAACACAAGCAGCCATTACCACGTAAACTCACTAATACCGGGAGCTTCACCTAGAGTTGCCCATGTTTCTATAGAGTCCAAGTGAGGTGGAAGCAGCTTTGCAGCTCTCACTGCAGAACCAAGGTCCCTTCCTCCCTCTCCCTTCTTCATTCCTGTCTGCTCAACTTGCCAGCCTTGCAGGGAAAGGGAAGGAAGTATTTATAAGTCTGGGAAATGTCTATACACCTTACACTATATATGGCCTTCAGTGACTACTAAGGTGCAAAAATAATTGGAAGCTGAAGGGTGCAAAACCCAACATTAGGGTTTACAGTTGGGTTTCAGCAGTCATTTTTTTTGATTGATATAGGATTACATTTCATTTAAAATAAACTCTTACGCATGCCAACGTATGTTTTAAAATATAAGTCTGCTTTTATATTTTAATTATAATTACAGGGTGTTTGTGTGGACCTGTAATTCCTGATATTGTTCACTGAGGGTAGTGGAGCTTTGTACACATTTTTACCAATGTACCAAGGCAAATGTTTGTTACAGGTTATTGTATGTCTTGCCACATTTTATAAGTAATAAATTTAGTTCTATATTTCTGAAGTCCACATGTAAAAGAAACAAAGGCTTATTAAGAACAGCATTAAAATCAGTCTAGCTTTATGAAACCTTGGTGAAAAAGACCACAACAGGTCAGGAAGCAGTAAGAAGAATCACTGCAGAAACAAGAATGTACACAAAAGGCAACTTTTAACACTGCTTTGTGTTCTATCTGACTGTCTTTTACAATCATTTGGAGTATTTCTGCAAGACAGTGATGAAAAAAACCCAACATCCTGATATTTGACAAATGGGATCCATAAAATATACTTTTTTAAAACAAGATAAAAACTCTAACATTCTTGAACTTGCATGCATTTCCTTTCATAAATAGAGATAATATCTTCAATACACATAAATGTAAAAGTATTTGTCCAGGAGTGCCCACATAAAAAGAAGCCTCAAAATCTTAGGCCTGAGCCTTAACATTTTTATTTTCCACTTTACCCTGTAGTTCTTGTGACTTCTCAGTACTGAGGTGAGATTCAGTATATACCACTTGACTACCACAAAGTAAAATGTTTACTGATACCGTTGAAAAAGTGAGAATATAGTGCTAAATAGGAAGTATCAGGAAGTATCTATGGAAAAAGCCTTGGTGCCATCTTCAATGACTAGCCATGAACTATGTGACCTTATTGCCACAGCTTGTGTGTATACTGTGCATCAGGCTACCCTAAAGCATGGCTGATCTGTCTGAGTCCATCACTGGTCTGCTATGGTCGACACATCTGGACTGCCAATTTACACCTGTTGACTTTAGCATAAAATAATCCTAAATATAATCATGAAGTTTTACACCCCAAAACGAAAATACTGAAAAGAATTTAAGTGATATTCTCCTTATCTTATTCTCCTAAAATCATATTTTGCACATAATCAAGTTTCATCTCTATAAATGAAAGAAGCTGCCTATAGTGCGTAGGTGACACAGATAACGTTTTCTTGAAACAAGCTCTCCGAGCTGTAGCATAGTCTGTACCTGTTTTTGTTCTTCTCCTAAGCCGTCCCACATTGATGCTACAATTTTAGAGACTTCCCCAAAAGTAGCATTTGGGTTTTGGCCCTTGATGGCTGCTTGAGTGTCTCGAAAGAATAATGCATAGGCAGACACGGGCTTCTGTGGCTCATTTGGGTCCTTCTTCTTCTTCTTTTTGGGAGTTTTGGGTTTCTTCCCCACATCTGAAGCAGGTCTCTTCTCTCCTCCATTGACCTATAACATAGAAGGAGAAAAGTATTATAAAAATTTAGCCAATTTAACTTAGCCAGGCTTTGTAAAAGACAGACATTTTGGAATTTGCAAGTAAAATGGCATTTTAATTGTCATCTTTGAAAATCTAAACGTTGGCATCATCTGATTCCCCAAAATGCATTATAAATAAATATAAATATAAATAATATAAAAAATATAATAAAATATACTATTTCCCCTAAAGTGCCTTACATTCTGCTTTCAGGGAGTTGTTACCTCATTTATAGTTTGCCTGGTCACTTTTTCATCTCTTCTCAGTTTTATTGCTAATGGTTATTACCTGCCTGCCTATAATGAGTAAATCCAGGGCATGTTTCATTATATACTGACCACTAATTCAAAAAATTGATCCATCTGAAACCAGTAATGACACTGCAATTTCGACCTTTCTTTTCTTGAGAGGCTTACCTAGATCAGGGGTCAGACCACTTTTTGCTGCAATGGCGGATGTCCTTCCAGGGAATATGAAGAGAATCTTATTGTGAATAAAGTGACTCCTTCTAATTAAACCAGTATGGATTAATTAGTCTGGACCCCTAGAGAGGATCATTTCTGATCCTTCTAGGTTTCTTTTCTGCTGCTCTACAAGAAAATTCCTGGCGGCTTGAAAAAAAGAGTGAAAGACAAATGGTGTATGAAGAGACATGTAGGTGCGTGTTTGTGTGCCACATCAAAAAAAATGCATATGAAAACATGCAAATTTGTGAATATGCAACTACACTTTGCTATTTAATATTTCAGAAACCCTGATCACCACCACAGCACCCTACTTTCTTAAATGACTTACAAGCCCATATTTAAATAAAGGGATATTGTTCTAATTCTTCAACAGACTGGCACTCCATGTCAATGTATCTTCTATTGACCATTCAATTCATTGTACCTCTAGCAATGATGTGTGATCTAACCAGAGGGATAGGAGGCTTTTTGTCTTGATGGCACGGCAACATACTGCATTAAGCAGTCTGAAGTATGAGAAGACCCAATCCAGCAGCTATGACTTTCATTACATGCTTGTAATTTTTTTAATAATACTTATCAAATGACAAATCAGAGAACGGGTACTCTTCAGATCAGCAGAACTATATAAGAACAGTGGCTGCATATATTCACTTTGAGAGAAAACCTTTTTGTTTGTCTTAATGTGAGTCATTGTGTGGTGTCCAATAGGGCCCAGGTGACTAGAATGAACAACCCGGATCTCTATGGCTTTTTAATCATGAGAATAATATGATGACTATATACTTGACAACTTGAAAATGAAGTGGCTTGTTTCAGCAGCATTATGTTATATTAGACATATCTTTAGTATAAGGTTAATAGCCTTGGAGCTTTCTGGAAGTATTTCAGAAAAGATGGAAAAATAGCAGCAGTGTGCTACCCATCATTAGATTACTTCTACCAAAGTTTTAGTCTTTTAATTTAGTCTGCAAGGCAGAGAAAACTACCAGCTAAATGAAGTTTAAAGGAGCATTGTGTAGTGTACATGCTCTGTGCTCCTTAGTTTATTTGGCAATATCAATCCAAACACTCTTTTAAGCAAATTCCATGAGCAAGGAGCCTTCACAATAATTGAAGCCATAATTAAAGTTTAAACTTTTATTATTTGCAGGTTTTCAAAGTATTTTTGCACTAACGAAATTTACAAGATTTCTGAATATTAGTATACCATATCATCTAAAGTATCCTTTAACTAGGTGATGTTCTGAGGAAACTTGTGTTAGAAGTCTTCTGGTAAATCATTCTGAAAACAGCTCTAAAACTTACTCCTCCAACCTGACTGATCAAGATCAAGAGACTTCAAAAACCTACTGTTAAAAAGAAAACACTCACGGGGAAATTCTATTTGCCTTATACAAAAAAAAATAAATAAAAAGAATACCAAAATTCCAGTACTAATATCCTTGCAAATGGCTGAGATGATGGCCTGCCTTCTGCTCCCATCAGTCTATCAGCATCACAGACTCCACTTCTAACCACCAAAGTAGAGACAGATGGGAAATAAAATAAAAAAACATATATATTTTGCTCGGCATAGACTTGTGCCTCTAAATCCCTAGAGGTGTAGTTAGCTCATCGTAATCCACCTCCTGTCATGGCTTATTGCTTAATTATGGTGATGTATTTAACTTATTTATCACAAGAAAGCAATAATCTTTCACTTTAAAAAAGTGTACATTAACCATGTTGCACACATAATAGATCACAAGAATATCTAGTGTAGGGTTTAAAACTATCAAGTAAGGCACATCATGGATATCTAAATGTCCCTCGAGAAGTTGGAAAATGTCTATAAGCATATTTAAAATAAACTGCAATAGTACCAAAGCCTTTAATGGAGCTAGGAGAGCTATTTTATGCACACTATCTTGCAGTAATCGCTGTAGTTTAAAATAGATTTTAATCAAGCACCATCTGCATAATAGGCTGAACAGACAACATAGAATTCTACTTATAACTCCTATCATATAAAGTAAATATTGTAAAACCTTTACCACATAAAGAGAATATGCTGTAGCAGTTCTCTGGTAATCATGTTTCTGTTAGTTAATTCTTGTTACTTGCAGTCTTCTTGCTATCTTCCCTCTGAACTACATTATTTGAAATTTGCTTATAAGTGATATTCAAATGAGCATAGAAGAAAACCCTGTCATCCATCTATGGATTTTTATTTGCAAACCAATAACACTTTCAGCACCTCACAATTATGCTTGGCAATAACAGACTACATGTTTAACGATCCATCAATATGAATTATGGCAAGAATTACATAAATGTAATATTCCAGTGGTCAGAATAAAGCATGTGGTAAGTGGCCACTTTTGTTTAGAATGTTTTTATAGTTACTTACAGCTACAGCTTTTTAGGTTTACCCTTTTTTTCTTCTAACCACAGTCCTATGTATTCAATTTAGAAGACGTAAGCAGACTTAGGGACATACACCACCCGCACATACAAGTGCTTTGGTCAAAGACTGCAGTTCATATTTCCATGGTCCATCTGTGTCGATGCAGCCTCGTAATGATGCTCCCCTTGTTACTGACAGCATCGTCAAGCACCATCAGCCATGTTCCTTTCTGAGTGAAAGTCTAGCACAACTGGATACTCTTTGAGCCGGCTCCTTTCCCTCTTTTTGCTCTTTAGCTAAGGAGCACTTGCAGTTATGTCCAAGTGACCTATACGAAATGGTCCTTATTCAAATGACCATTGATCAAAAGCACTTAGCAGCTGCGGCCAGTAGCTATGTACATTTACCACCAATGAACTGTGCATGCACACTTACACCAGTTTATGCTATGTACATTTACCACCAATGAACTGCCTGGAAGCTCAGTGCATGCACAATTACATCAGTTTACAAAGTTTCTTCTCTGCTGGTATTTGAG